CATCTCTTCCCAACAGTCAGGATTGCTCCCAGGTCATGCTGGAGATATCTATATCTATTCTGCAATCAAGAGCAAACCACATGATATTTTTCTTATGAGGAAGTGGTTTTCCTCAGGGGTACATCAACCTGAACAATCTCAATCATGATCATGCTGCTATAATTTTCTTTCTGGCTGTGAAAATAATAACAGTTTGCATAAAGTAGAATAATCATATTTTTTAACACCAATGGTAAAAAAATGGAATCTATTCCATATCCTTGTCTATTTAAAATCTGATCTGGAGGATGGGCAGATTGTCCACAACAGATATTACATAATGAAGGACATGGGTTTTCATAGGCATTAAGGAGACATTTTAAGGGGCATACAGAAGACTGCAAGGAGGGAGGAGGACATCAGAAAGAAAGAGGGGAGAACTCATCTGCACAGGCTGTACTGCAGAATTGCTACTTTAAACAGACACCAGATTCAGTGGAGCTGTGCCTCTGAACCACATCAGCTACAGGAGGAGAATCCAGTCTGTCCAATGGTGCAATCAAGTTTAACTGGAATGTTGTTTGTGTTACTACAGTAAGACAGCTAAGAGCTCTGGGGAGTTCCCAGCCATTGCCAGTTTAAACTGCTGATCATTCCCCTCTCCTAAAGCTCTAGGTGCTCTTACTGCCTATTACAGGGAAAACCAACTGATTACTAATCCATCTAAAATGTAGACGTGTGTTTTCCATCTTAAGAACAGACAACCATCTTGAGCTCGAAGGATTACCTGGGAAGGAATCCCACTGGAGCACTGCAGCACACCCAAAGACCTGGGAGTTAGCCTGGACCATGCTCTGATCTACAAGAGGCACTACTTGAATATCAAGCAAAAAGTGGGTACCAGAAACATTATACAAAAGCTGACTGGCACAACCTGGGGGTCACAACCAGTCACAGTGAAGACACCTGCCCTTGAGCTTTGTTATTCTGCAGCTGAGTATGTATGCCCAGTATGGAACACATTTCACCATGCTAAAACAGTGGATGTGGCCCTTAATGAGACATGTTCCATTATTACAGGATGTCTATACCCTACACCACTGGAGAATTATTATTATTATTATTATTATTATAACTTTATTTGTACCCCGCTAGCATCTCCCAAGGGATTCGATGCGGCTTACACAGGCCGAAGCCCAAAACACAATACAACAATACAATACCTAAAGCAAATTAAAAACAGTTAAGCAGGAAAACAATAACAGTAACAATACAACAAGACACTATTAAAACTGGGCCGGCCGGAGTAGGGGTACAGGATTAAAAGTGCTGATGTGGTGGGAGGAATGTAGGATTATAATATAAGTGCGGAGTGCAGTGTGCAGTGATCTTGGTTCTACTAAGGTGCTTCTAGGATTTGGTGCTGGGGTTCCTAATCTGAAAAGGCACATCGGAACAGCCAAGTTTTCAAATTCTTTCTGAAGACTTCCAATGTAGGGGCTTGTCTGAGATCTTTCGGGAGGGCGTTCCAGAGTCAGGGGGCCACCACAGAAAAGGCCCTGTCTCGCGTCCCCACCAAGCGCGCTTGCGACGTGGGCGGGATCACGAGCAGGGCCTCTCCAGATGACCGGAGTGAGCGTGTGGGTTCGTAGACAGCGATACGGTCACGCAGGTAGGAGAAATTACACTGTTTAGCCAGTATAGCACCACCTGACATCCGCTGGGAAGTAGCAGCCAATAGTGAAAGGACCAAGGCAGTGACATCTCTGGCCCATCCCCTGTTCAGATATCAGCCAGCATGCCAATGCCTTAAATCAAGAAATAGTTTTCTAATATCTACAGAGATACTGGCAGGAACACCTCCGCAAGCAAAAGTCCAAAAGTGGCAGGCTAATACACGGAACCTCAAGCTATGGCTGATACTAAATGAGAGACATCCTCCTAGGCACACAGAAGATTTGGAAGGCGCTGCTCTGGCACCACAAGATACAGAGCCAACCTTAAGAAATGGGGCCACAAAGTGGAGCCCATGACATGTGAGTGTGGAGAAGAGCAAACCATAGATCACCTATTACAATGTAGTCTTGGTCCTGCCACATGCAATGGAGAACCTTCTTAAAGCAACACCAGAGGCACTTCAAGTGGCCAGCTACTGGTCAAAGGACATTTAATATAATGCCAAGTTTTTAAACTTTGTGCTTTTTAAATACATTAAATACAACTGTACCAGTCTGTGCCACAGCTAGTTAGTAGCCAGCTGCATTAAACCACTATGGACCGAGAGGTCATGAATTCGAAGCCACCCCAGTAAGTTCCCAACTAGCTTGCTGTTGACCTATGTAACTCAAAAGACCGTTGCATCTGTCAAGTAGGAAATTTAGGTACCGCTTTATGCGGGGAAGCTAATTTAACTAATTTAAGATGCTATAAAACCTTCCAGCAGTGTGCAGAAGAATGAGGAAGTACTCCACAAAAGGAGCCAGTGTCACAAGAGGACAGTGAAGTGGCAGCTCCCTCCTTGGCCGGAACTGAGCATACCCTCATGAAGCCGGAAAAGCTGGACTGTTAAATTGCATCTGTGTCTGTCTATATATATATTGTATGCCTAAATAGAATTGAATGTTTGTCATGTATATGTGCACTGTAATCAGCCTGAGTCCCCTGTGGGGTGAGAAAGGTGGAATATAAATACTGTAAATAAATACCCTCAGTTTGCTACTGACACAATAAATAAATAAATCCCCCCTCCTTTTCTTTGGTCATGCAGGTACTTTTGCTGAAGCTAGCAAATGTGGCAATGAAAGCTAGGAGCTCTCTGGAGCTCTTTTGCCAGCTGCTTTGGAAATAGCAATGGCACTGTCCCGATCTGTCTGCTTTTCCATGCACTGTGCAACAAAAAGAAAGGGAGATAGAAGCACCTGGCTGTGTGGGCAGTAAACCGGTTCAAAATAGAGCTGGCCCAGCTGTCCACACTATCCCATATTGCAGGGGTGTTTCACACTTTTGATAAAACTCCCGAGCATTCCTTGATTTATCCTGATGCAGAATAAAACTAGGTTATGCAATTTTACCTCAGGTTACCTAACAAAAATCCCTGGATATTGTGTGGACATCTAGGAACAAATTTTGGTTGGAACTAGAGTATAGGGTCAGTGTAGATAAGCTCAGAGAACCAGAAAGAGTGTGTCTATTTTAAACAATTTACATTGCCTCCTTTCTTCTCAGGCCCCCAACAATGCCAATGCTTAGAGCAGGTAAAGTGAGAAATAGCAAGAAAAAATAATTTTCAGTAATCTTACAAAACTACAATCCTGAGGTTTTTCAAAAGAAGAAATAATAGCAAAGCTGAATTAAAGTTAATATTTAGATAAATAAATCCAGGCTGTTGAACTGATTTCAAATGAGCTTTACAGCTACTTTTATCAGATCTTCACGCGAGGTTTCTGCAGCAACTAAAGCATTTCTTTTTATATAATTATTTTATTACACATCAACACAAAAATAGGGGCAGATATTATTTACTCCATATATATATGTGTGTGTGTGTGTGTGTGTGTATAAAGAGAGTTAAAAATACAAAGACGTGAGGGAGCGGAAATATCAAAGGAAAAAAATCTATATGGGAAAAAATAGGGGAGGCAGAAATATAAGGTAGGGTAATTGTTGACTTCCAAACTCTTTCATCAGGGTAGTGAATCAATGTTTATTTTCAGTCTTTAATAAAATATTCTATTCCCTCTCTCAAAAAAGAAAAACAAAAAAACCTTTAAATTATCATTTTCATTTTTTTCTCATTTCAAATAGTCTTTAAATATAGTCCAATAAGTTACTTTTTCTGGATGTCCTTAGTAATTCTTGAGTTGGTGTGTTAGATTGTCCATACACAGAATTCTGTAATTTTTAGTAACCATTCCTCTATTGTTGGGATTTCTTTGGCAACTAAAGTATTTCTGAATGCAATAAACATCTAGCTCCTATTGTCAATATTAAGATATTCCCTATTTGGGATAGAAACAAAATAATATATGGCAATGAAATTGTGATTTGCTTGCTTATTTTTCCATTAAAACACAGAATATCAACATTTGACAGAACTAAAGAGCCAAATAATACAGTGATTGACCACATCACATCATATAGAAACAAATAAATACATAAGATGGCACATTACATCATCAGAGAGGGAACATCCACTTCTTGTCTGTTAATAAAATATGCCAAAAAATCTGGTAAAAGCTAAGTTTCCAAATTATGTTGTTACAACTATATCGGATTTATAAAACACTCCATTTATTTTAAGAAATGCTTATGGAACACGGCCATACAGCCTGGAAAACTCACAGCAACCCATTGATTCTGGCCATTTATCTGCAGAATTGTAGGTATTCCCTCTCACATGCATATTCACGCACAAGTAGATGTTTATGGGATACAATGTTTCAGTGGTCTTTATTCTCAATAAATAATGTAGTACTACAAAATGTTAACTGTACAAAACTTGATGTTTCATAGATATAGCATAGGATGTAAAAAAGACAACTCACAGTTGCCGTAATGAGGAAACTGAGAGTACCACCAATTTCCTCACCAATTTCTAAGTTGGCCTTCTGATTAGTGCTGAAAATTCTGAAATAAATTTGCCCTAAAATATTCAGTGATGTGAACAGAATTAGTTAGTAATAACTATCTAAAGTGTTACTGTTGATAAAGTAATCTTTATTTACTTTAGATAAGAGATTATATTGGATTCTAGCCTGGTTTCTTGATTAGTATCTCTGGGTAAGACAAAACCAAAGAGAAGCATTTAATGTCCACTTATCTAAAAGGGAAATGTTTATGCAGGTACTTAACTTTCCCATCCAAATCAGTATAGATGATATGTGGTGAAGTTTATTTGGAACCTTATAGGTGAGATTTTTGACTATTTATTTAACCCATATAAAATATCTCCCATTTCAAGGAGAAATACAATCCTGATTTATTAACATGAAAGTAGAAGAAATTAAAGACCTTGTTCTTACCCTTATTTCTCAAATCCTTTAATAACCTGGACTCCTTGTGAAGAATATCACTCACTAATTTGATCTCAATGTTTTGAGATAATAGTTCTTGTAACTTCTCAAAAAGATGCTTCCCCTGTAAGAGGAGAGGACATTTGGAAATTATTATTAAAGTAAAACACATGGAATTATAATATATAACATAATATGTATGTTGATTTTTTATATCAAACACTATAGTGGTATTTATTAATGGAACTTAAAGCTATCTCTTAGAATAAATATTTGAAGCTGTATTGAAAAACAATGGGGGATTTTCAATGACATATGATCTACTTAAAATATTTTTTACAAGATATGTGACTTTTTAATATCACAAAATTTAAATAATTTGAAAATCCTGCTCAGCCAAAGAAGCCCAAAGGAAGGTACTAATAACTGACAGTTTCATACAGAGTTATAAGAGGAAATGACACTAGAAAATATTGTGACATTCTTTGAACCCTTGGTACAGGATGATGGTGTAACTAAACATTTTTCTCATATATTTGTCATCAAATATTGTGAATTCTATGAAAATTCTCAGATTTTGAAACAGCTGGAAACAGCTTCTCTTAGTTTTATATTTCCATTCTTACAATTCAACAATCATAGTAATAAATTAAAATGTAGCCCCATTTCAAAATGCAAATGGACTTTTCTTAAGGCCCAAACTAGATGAGGCTAGAGCATGAAAGATTTATGTTGAAGCCTTGCCTGTCAACATATAAAGATGGGTTGGAGTGTTTCATTTTACTATAAAAAGAGATGTGTAGTTGAGAATTGATTCCTCCCTTCCAGTCACCTCGATATCACAAGAGCAAGAAGAAAGGCAGTAGAGATCTGTTTAGTTATTTCTGATTATACTAGTGACCTCATCACATGGGGTCTGGGCTCCGTCATAGGACGATTTCCACACCAAGCCAAGATGGAGCCGGACAGAGCCCATCACACGATGCAGGGTTACTTCCAGCGGGCTCTGTCCTGACTCCATGTTAAAATAGGCCTACGACAGACTCTGGGGGGTGGTGCTCATCTCCATTTCTAAGCCAAAAAGATGCTTCCTAGGTCATGTGGCTGGTATGACTGCATGGAGCGCTGTTACCTTCCTGCCGAAGTGGTACCTAGTGATCTATTCACATTTGCATGTTTTCAAACAGCTGAATTGGCAGAAACTGGGGCTAAATATGGGAACTCGCCCCATCCGCAGTTTCAAACCACCTACCTTCTGGTCAGCAAGTTCTGCAGCTTAGCGATTTAACCCGCTGAGCCACCACAGCCCCAGTTTAGACACTACTTATGTCAAGCTTTAGACACTATTTTTAAAAACCCAACATAATATGAAATACCTGTTTTTACATTTGATTATATATATGGAATCAGTGGGAACAGTTTGCTATTATTGTTCCAAAATGTAGCATCATGAAAAATAGTATTAGTATAGAAAATAAGTATAGAACTTCAAAATGAAGTGAAAAGAAGTCTGGCTTTTCAAAGCTCTGTCCTAAACACAGTTACATTGATCCACGGGCCTTTTGTAGTTGCCTTGCATGCAAATCACATAAAAAGTTGTCAGGTAAAATGCATTTAATTCTAAGGTTGCCAGGTCTGAGCAATTCCGAGCCCTAAGATTTCAGAGCAAAAACATGCAATTCTGAGAAACACTTTGGTGATGTTTCAAAACAATGTGCATGTCTTGACATTTCTCTCTCTCATCCTCTGGATCAGAGAAGATGGGCCAGGCCATGAAACCTGTAAACCTTGTTCCCAGACTCTTCAAAACATCCATAGTAGCCATTTCACCAACACAGTATGTTGTAATTTGAAGCAAGGAGTTCAGATATAGAAAAGCATACAATGCAAAAAAAAAAAAAAGCAGATCTCCAAAGGCTTGTCAAATTAAAATAATGCATACCTGGCATGCAGATGGATGACTGTGACTGAGGTCCCATTGGGAAGATACTATATCAACAGATTTTTTAGCCATATTAAGTAAATTCATCCAGCCTTGGAAAAGAGACAAATGAGAAGGTGCACTGTCTGAATAGTTTATGCCTTCAGGAATATTTTCCACCAGAGCAACCCTGCAGAGATGCAAAGGAAATAAGATAGTTTGTTAAAAAATATTGTTTCTATTTAGAAGTCTGTAATATCCCAAATCTTGCTCCTTAATGCTCCCTGAATTAAAACTCAAAGAGAAGAAAGGCTACATGCTCAAGCATGTGATACATTTTCCTACCACAGAACAATTTAATTTACCATTCAGTTTAAAGGAACTTTATCTACAGTAATGAAAGTTTTTATCTTGTTCATAAAACAAAACAAAAAATGGCTGAAAAGGATTTCATTTAAGTATATCAAAAATTCCTTCCTATCAAAATTACTATCAAAAATTGCTCAACCACTGTAACTGTTGTGGTTCAGCCAGATGAAGATGAGGGGTTTGGGGGTTCAGGGCCTTTAGAGCAAGATGATTCTCCAGCTGAGGGAATGGGCGGGGGGGGGGGGGGGGGGGGGGGGGGGGGGGGGGGGTTGGAGCAAGATGCTGTTGTTGAGATGGAGTGTGAGAGTGAAACTGTTTTGGAAGCCAACAGGCTGGGAAGAAAGGATAACATTCGCTCATCCAAGGAAGCAGCTGGCTTAGACAGAGGTACTAGGCTGCTTCTTAGGGAGCAGAGATTCAGGTGCAGGAAAACCCATAAAAAAAGAGAAGCAGAAGCAGGCCTCTCAAGGTCAAAGGAATGTGTTCATGTTTTGCAGTCCTTAAATTAGGGAGAGAGCTGTTAGGATTTTAGATCAAGCAACGTTACTACTGAAATGTGGAACTCTTGTCTTGTTACTGGTTCATGCCTTAGTTCAAGATCCAAGATTCATGGTCAAGTTTTCCCCGTTTTCTGGATTTACCTTTGTATTCATGCTCATGTTCTGCTCTTTGTTTCTTGGATTAATGTTCATGTTTTAACCATTGTTTTGTGGATTTACTATTGTTTTGGGGAATAGCTTCCTTTGTTAACTCTTAAATTTTTACCCTTCTATTGTTTAAGATGCCTTTGGCCCTTTTTATATATGTTTTCTTCAATAAACTGTTTATTACCACATTTGGTTTCTTGATGAGTGCTGTGAGCAAGGTGAACTCCTACTGAGGTGCAACAGTAACATCACATTTTATACCCTTGCATTATCTTTAATCACAAACAGCTGAAGTTTCCTCAGAATATTTTCTAGGACAAACAATGGCTGCTAAGAATATAATCATAACTTTTAAAGACTGCAGTTGTCAAAGTATGATATAAATATTTTAAAATAAGCATAACAAGATCATTCTAAAGACAAATGACATTAAAATGCTAAAATTAACATCCAGATGCAGCCTGAAATCTGTTTCTTGGGGGTACTGAGAAAGAAAGAGTGGCAGAAAGAAAGAGTGGCACAGTGATAATTCTCTACTGGGAGGAAGTTTCAACCAAATAAACAAACAAGGAAGGAATAAATACAGATTTGATTTCTCCTGTTAAACTGAATGATGTGAACTCAAGAAAAAGGAAATGGTTAAAAAAGAGGAAAAAGAGAACGTATTCATTGAAAAGAATTAATAGTTTATAATAAAAATGAAGGGAAGAAAACAGTTTTCTTTTGTAGAAGGTGAGAAACACTTGATGTCATTACAGAAAGGTTTATTATGAAAGGTAGAATGTTTAATTTAATAGAAGAATTAACAGTTAAGACACAAAGCGATGAGATATTTAAGTTAGCTTAGAGTAAGGGAGATTTAAAAATAATAACTAATGGCCTGAATAAAGTTTAAGAACACTTCTATTAAGTACATATAATTGCTATTGATTTTCTGTAAGGAAGATATATATTATCCATTCAATTTTGATTTAAACTAGTAACAAATGTATTCTGCAGAAAGGAGAAACATGATTTATTTTACAAGAGAAGCATTGAAGGCATTATAGATTAAAAAGTGTTAAAACTGCAGGAGAGAACTAGAAGTCAATTTCATCTCTCTTTTTGTTGGTTTTATCTATTCTTCCTTTTGCCCGCCTTTACTTTTCTTGTTGTATTTTATATAAAGATAGTTTTAAAAATACAATTTTAAAGAGACAAAAATAGAATTGTGTGACTTAGAAAGCTACAGAATAACAAATTAAATGTTTAGAGATTTTTGCTGTGTCCAGTATTTTTAAATGAAGGAGCACCAGAAGTCACAATACAGGCATTCCCGAAGTTGCGAACAAGATGAGTTCTGTAGGTTTGCTCTTAAGTTGAATTTATTTGCAAGTCAGAACAGGTACATTTTTCAAGTGTAACTCCAGACATATATATATATATATATATATATATATATATATATATATATATATATGGGGGGGGGGAGAGATTGAGCTTTGGACAGCATAGAGAATGGTTAACACCCTATGCTGTTTGTTTTGCTGTCTGTGTCTCTGCTCAGAAGTTTTCACATTACTTTCTGTCCCTACGATAATTCAATTTTGAAAAATTTGGCTTGTTGTGGAAGCAAGGATTGGTGATACAGCTTCAGTGGAGACACCTGTTCCCCGTGATAACTCTTGCATGAGTTCATTTCTCTGCCTAGGGGTAGATTTCTCTCATGTCCTGTTGTCTCACCTCCATTCATAACTATGAATCATTTGTAAGTCAGATGTTTGTAACTTGGGGACTGCCTGTACATACAGAAAAAGAAGCCATCAAGAACTGGAGCTGCATAATTCCTCAAATTTGTCATTGGTAAAGGTTATGCGTTAACATATATCAGCACACAGTTGGTTCCTTTTGCCATACTTATTACAATACTAGCTGCTGACCTATAAACTTTTCACATGACCCAAAATTCCACTGCAGTGATGGTTTTTTTGTACTTTTACAACAGGGTCTACTGGCTCCCATCACACACATTAAAAGCTCTGTGGTGGAACTGTCTCAAAAACCTTGCCACTGCCGAAAAATTGCTGGCAGCATACAATGGAAGGCTTCCCATCTTTCCATAAGCAAGATGAGTTTAGCTGGCTTAAAGAGACTTCTCCCCCATATTATGAAGTAGGGAGAAAGCCAGGACAGTGCAGGTCATGAGGCAATAGGTCCCCACGCCCCCTAGGCGGACACCACCATTATCACCACAATCTGCAGCGATTCTCAGCAATTCCAGACATGCATGTGACAAAATCCCTCAATGACGTCATTTATAGAGTCACTTATATAAAGCTGGGAAAGTAATTATGGCAATAAAAACTGATGGATCTGTTTCACACATACATTCATACTAATGAGTCCCCCCTACCCAGGGGGTTGAGAAGGGTGGGGTAAAAATATTCAAAATAAATCAAAATAAATAAATAATGTCAAAAATGAAAACTTTGCTACAAATAACTGCAACCCTCACTGTAATACTAAGACAATACTAATGATTCTAAAACAGTGAAGCTGTAAAGTATGCTCACTCTCTCTCTTTCTCAATCTTGCATATCAATAGAGGTAGCTGAGCTTTTCATGAAGTCTAAAATCAGGATGATATCAGAGACTGATCTCTGTCATCAGCCATTTTATCTCAATCATGTCCATCCAACAAATGTACTATTGTTCATGATGCTTGGTTTTTAAAATGGTTAAATAGGATTTAACTAATGCTATGATAGTGTGTATTCCTTTAGGAATACTTGATGTGTTGAAAACCACAAATGAATCGTCATCACCATCATCACCATCATATATCAGAAGATTGTTGTAAAGAGGAAAATGAAGCTATATCATTTATTCCCCTTTGCCAAGGACAATGCTTTTAGTGGAATGATTTTTTAATGACATAACTCCTATTTATTTTTCCATTATGAATTGCTTTTGTGTGGTTTTTTTTTACTTAAAAGCACAGAACATTCACACACACACATCTATGCATATATATAGACAGTTATTTATTTTTCTTTAATACTTCTCTGATCCTCAGAAAAGCAGCGAAAATGAGCAAAGGGATCGTATGTGACCTAGAATTTGCACTTCTGTTCCAAGATAAAAATAGAGCAAGTTATCTCTTCTAACCTTATTGAAAGTGTAATGAAGCAACTGAACTAGACCTTATTATGAGCAATATCTAGCTTCTTATAAAAGGGATTTTGCTTCATTCCTAACAACAGTGGCTAGTAAGAAAAATTAAGCATTTACATAAATTTAGTCAGGGACTAGAGTGATGGTGTTTCTGACTTTACCAAGGACAGTTTTCTATTTGTAAGGTTCTCAGTGCTTCGAGAGTAAGAAAAGCACAACTTTTAGACTGACTGTTCCCCACAGAGCCTTTTTGTAGACCTCAGGTTTGTCCCAAATCCTAAAACCTCCCAAAATGTGGTTATCTATTTGACCTAGAAAAAGAGCTGTTTGCAGATAAAATCAATTTAAAGCTTTACTTTAAGGAAAACTGACCAAAAACCATGTCTTTGGGAAGTATGCACAAGACACCAGCATCCATGCAGTAGATTAACTTAAGTTCCAAGTTCTGTAGGAGTTTAGTTAAAATATTAAGCAAGAAAGAATTATTGTAAAAGGCAGATTCCTGGAGATATTTGTGGAAGAATGGTGCATGAAATGGAGGGTGGGGGAGAGATGAACCAGGCAGAACCTGGTTCGAAACCTGGTTCCTACCCAACTATTGGATCTGAAGTCACAGTTTGTTCTGGATTCTAAGGGAGAATTTGGAGCAACTCGCAACTTTTGTTAACATGATTCAAGGCCACGTTAAGCAGCTCTGACCTATGTTAACCTAAATCAATTATATTAATCATTATAACCACCATGGAGTTAATTCAGTGGCTCTTCATGCTAAGTGTGTCCTGTTGGGGAGGTGATTACTGTTAAAGGGCTCAAGCTCTGCTTTATCCTCTAGTGGCCCATGGGAGGGTTGGCAGCTAGAGCCTCCAGTTTCCACCTTTAATTCCTCCTGCCAGGACCCTTCCTCTTGGCTTTTCTCTTTGTCTGAGGAGGACTCTTCAAAGAGAGGCATGCCAAAAATGTCTGTTATTTAAGACCTCCAAGACCACCTCTAATAAAAAGGGAACGTAGTTGGATCCATGGG